GACCTGAAAATTACCACCAGAGGTAGTAACAGCGTAACTTTAGTATTGAGAGGGCTTAGTCAAAATTATCCCCTGCTCTCGGTAGGATCCCTAGGGTATAAACAGTCTTTTAGTCTAACTTCCCCCCCCCCCCTTCCAAATTAAAACCACCTGAATCCTGTCTTCATTTTACCTGACACCAGTGGGTAATTCTGGGTCCCAGCTTTCCTAACCAAGATGTAGCCTGGCTGCTCTAAATCTGTCCTGTGGCTTGTTGACAATACAGTTCCAAAACCGAGAAAGATGGGCCGTGGAGATGGGACCAAGGGTTGTGTGACAGCCTGCGAACCTTGTACCTGAGAACCTTTTGCTTTTCCCTGTGGCAAAGAGTAGGCCAGCTTGTTTGACGAGCTGATTTAGGCAGCTTCAGAGCTGACGGCTGGCCTAGGTAGATGGAACGCAGATGCTGCTTCATGCCTTCTCTTGTGCAATGGTAAAAGGTCTTCCCTGAAGAGAAGGACAATGGTGAATACAAGCATCTCTGTCAGAGATCCTTACACAAAGCCATTTTAAACAAGGCAGTAAATACTTTCCACAGGCTGCCCTTGGAGTCTATGAAGATCCCAGCCACAGGCGCAGAGTTCTTATTTTTCATTTACTCCCCACCACCATACCTGAGACTGACTGCCCTATTGGATTAGGGCAGACACCAGTCTTTACAGCCTACGAGCTAGAATGAAGGGAAAACCCTGTATCATATGAACTGCTTAATAACAAGAGTAGCAGGAAAATCCTGTGCTGTGCAACAGGCTCCAAGAGAAAGCCCTTCAAACCTTGCTGGTTCGTATTTCTTTATGGCCCACAAAAGCTAGTTAGCCAGACATGTTGCTTTTAAACAGGGACATTCCCACAACGGTGCTGCTGCACTGACAATACTACTTCCAAAGCCATGGAAGTGCCTGCATTCTGATCTGAAACCCTGGTTGGCAATAAGCAGTATCCAGAGCTTCACTTGGACCTCTCTTAGCTGTAGCTGGGCTTGGTCTGGCTGCCATTGTGCTGCTGGCTGGATCACATTTAGGCTGCCTGAGCTTCACAGGCTGGAGAAGCCAATGCTGAAACATTCGTCCTTTCTGTAAGGGGAACTGTGTCTAAAAATGTGACTATCACCATTTTTCTGTGCCACAGACAGGACTGTAATCCAGCTGCTCCAGTCTGTCAGTGGAATCAAGTACATTCATTCATACCAGAGACCTTTTAAAAAATGAGAAGGTCCCCTGCTGTAACTACTGAAGCCAGTGGAATTTAATCATGGATGTTGTACAAACTTCCTCTAATGAAGGTCCTGATGCTGAAGAACAGAGTGGATTCTCCTGAAAAAGCCTAAAGTTTCTGGATTTCTCCTGGCACAATCTATTACTGTCTGCTGCCTGCTCAGTGGAAACAGCAGGGAAGCTGATTGAGATCCACATTATGAAACACCGCACCCACAATTGATCCCTTTCTTAGGAATCTGGGAGGAGAAACACCAAAGAGATTACTAAAGGAAAGAGGGTATTTATTTTTCTTCTTAATTAATAAATAACTTTAAAATGTCCAGCAGAGGAAAGTATTAATTAGAATATAAAGCTTCATTTTAGTGCAATTCAGTCAGCGGAGTGGAATGTGATCGAACATCTTACTACAGTGCTCAGAACAATGCCTTTGAGTTCCAGCTTTGCTCTTCACAGCATTATAGTTATATTTCCCATACTTAATATGGTAAACAGTGGGACAGTTGTGGTAAAGTCACTTGGTTACTTAAGCAACAGAGATGTTTTTAAGGGGACTTTGGTTTCCTGTGCTTGTAAGAGGAGTTTGTCTTACCAGAAAATGAAAATAAAAATATAAAATGTACGATAACCAACTTCCTTTTCTATTAGGATATTTGCCTATTAGACATGGACTTCTTACCTGGCATCATAAACTGGTACTCTGAGATGGTTTGGTACTGCTTTTTCTCCAGATTTTCAGGGGCCAGCCTTTTACTCAGAAGAAATTAAAAGCATAAGGATTAGATCAAGTCTAATTTTCTTATAGCTGGTATGCTGAAAACAACAGACTAGCATGGAATATCAAATCATTTCACCTATACCACTCTTTACTTGCTAATCAGAACCTATAGATGTGACCATGTATGTGCATAAAGGTAGAAGGAGGTTGTTTCTCTAGCCAGCAGCCCACAAGATGAGCTCTTTCTGGCTCACATCATTATTAGGAATAACCATTCTCCAGCTGGAACTGAGTGGACAGTTCTTAATGATATTCAGGCCAGACAAGAATCAGTTTGCTGCCTCCAAGCTGTGCTGACTCATTTAAGTTCATACCAGTGAAAAGCAGTGAAACCTTATTTTACTCATATTTTTTTTTAAAGTAGCAATGACTCAGAACCTTCCGAGGAGCTCTGATGAGTAAGCGTGCTATTTATACATCGATAATCTTCGACTACATTACTGCAGCAGTTGCAAACCTTAGAACAGGGGCGGGCAATTATTTTGGGCGGGAGCCGCTTACTGAGTTTTGGCAAGCCATCAAGGGCTGCATGACAGGCAGCCAGGTGCAGATTAATATTTATTTTCTAATTTTTTATGGGCTCTGCGGGCCAGTTGAAATGGCCTGGTGGGCCGCATCTGGCCCGTGGGCCACATTTTGCCCACCCCTGCCTTAGAAGAAAAACTATTCTGAAAATTACCTGCCCCAAATGCTTCCCTTATAACCAGGGATCCTGGTTTTCTCTGATTAAAAATTGCAAATTCTCTGATTAAAACCCAAAAATCCATGATAAAAATTAAAGGCCCCCCACAGTGCTGCTGGTGCCCCACACTCCCCCCCACAGCCTCAACACCCCTTCTGATGCCCCTCACAACAGCCCCCCAGACCCACAGGCACAGAGGCACACACAGACACCCACCCCAGCAGGTAAGTGTGTGGGGGGAGGGGCGGGGCAGGATGGGGGGGGGGGAAGGTGCTAGGGGGGTAGATCAAGAAGGGGGGAGCATGCCCCTGTGCCCACTCCCAGGAGCAAGGCCAGGGGGTGAGGGCAGGGGAGCCACTCTGTGGGCCACATGTGCCGGCCGCCTGACAAGGGGTTCACACACGGAGGCCACCACCGCAACTCTGCCACTGCACCCTGCGCTACCATCCCATGGCCACCCGCACGGCTTTGTGGGCAAGTGGCACAGGGCTTATCCTAGAGGTAAGTGGGGCTTGGGGGCTGTGTGGCAGGGCTGGGGAAGGTGGCTGAGGGAGCGGGGGGTGCTGCCGGCCCCAGGTGGCACACTGCAGCCAGGTGCAGGGCCAGGGGCTGAGGGCAGGGGTGCCCCTCTGTAGAAGGCTTTACGGGTAAGTGATGCAGGGCACATGTGCTGCCCAGCCAGCTGCCTGGGGGAGGGGGAGGCTGGCATGCAGCCGGCTGCACAGCTTTGTGGCCAGGTCTGCAGCAACGGCGAGGGATGGTGGCTGGGGGGACAGGGGTGGGCTCACATGCGGCAGCCGCTGCTGCTTACCTGTAGGGCCGTGCCAGTGGCGACTAGGATCCGGGGGCAAAGGATGAGTCTAAGCCTGAGCCCAGCCTTGGCTGACTCAGAGGCTCTTTGCAAAAGCGGAGAATCAGTGGATTTCTCTGCTAAAAAGGGAAATCCACATTTTCTCCGATAAAAACAGGGAATCCGTGGTTTTCTCCATTTTTCCATGGGAAACGGAAAACCCAGATCCCTGCTTATAACCTGGGGCAATCAGTTACGGTCTTTAGCAAAAATGCATGTTTACTCTCATTTTCCCCAAGCCTGGT